CTTAAAATAGCCATCCATTCAAAAACTGATCCATGACACGCTTTCGTATTAGGCCCCATACTCCTACGCGGGGTGATGACCCTTCCATTGTACGTATATCGTAAAAAACTTACCATCTTAACATCCTTCGAGGCTCATTTGTCTTTTATATAAAAATCTTTGAAAGCGTAAATGAAGACGTAAATCAGTGTCATCGGGGACTAGCGATTTCTCCGAAGCCTAATGTGTATCGGCGGAAGTTATTGGTGGGCCCAGACTATGAATAATGGAGCGTAGAACGGAAACAACTTCCGGTCTGTAACTGCCCTTATCTCGAGCGCAACTTTGATCGCAAAATTTAAAACTCGTTCGAACGCCATTCAGACTGTTTTTGTCCAAAATTTGGGACAAATTCTATTCTCGCATGCGGCAGTTGTTTTATACGACCCAGTGCTTTCTCACTAATATTAAAAATGTGTTATTTAGTCATATGATTTTCACGCTAAACAGCTTTATAATTCATACTGAGTTTCCATTTTCACCATCTCTTAGATATTCGCTTCCGTGTTTCAATTAATTCGTTACGAACATTGATATTATAAATTATTGTATCTAATTAATATCGCAAAATTTAATTAATATCATTAAAGCTTTGTTCGTAGATTTTAAATATAAATTGTATAATTTTGGTGATATTTTTAATATTTTTTCTCGATACATTTACATGTCTAGTACATATATTTGGAATTCAGCTTTATTTAGCTCTTACTTATATCGAGATCCCAAATAACTAATTATGTGATGGTAAAGGCAGCCATTTAGTTGTTACCACTGTCATAGCACCAAATTTTTCGGGTCCTATAAGCTTGCATGCCTTATTACACTTAAATTATAGGTGCTTTTAGTGGTAGCTATCACTTACAATTATTATAAAAACACACTTTAAGGAAGAGATAAGTAATTAGACGTATTTTTATTTAGTTCATTAGTTCGATTGCTCATGTGTTTTGTTATACCTACCATTATATCAAATATCCGATTTAGTCGAAAAGACCGAAGTGTTTTATGCCTTAATTGGAAAGATTTCGTCCTAACCTCTTAACCATTAAATCAAGTATATTCACGTAATTAAATACGAAGTCAGATTCACTGTGGAGTTATTGGTTTCAGTTTGAAAATATAAGAGCATTCGCTGCTTCCTATTTCATCCAGTCGAATTCAATACAACCTTTATAGATTTGACACCAACTCCAACGTAGGAAATTAAAGATTCTATCAAAGCAGTAACGAAGTGAATAGTAAATCTTTAGCAATGGTTTTTGAATGTTATTTATACATTTTAAAAATGGGTAGAACGAAGGAAAATAAGTTTTGGGCTGGTATTAAAAATAGTAATGTTTTAATTTTAAAGTTACGGTTCTGTCAACCTGTAAGGTAAGGTTTTTGTAGAACCGACTTAGAGCTTTATATATATTTTTTAAAATTAATTTATATAACTTGCAAACGGGCAGGAGGCTCACCTGATGTTAAGTGATATAGACATAGACACTCACATTGCCAAAGGGCTTGCAAGTGCTTTGCCGGCCTTATTACAGTTTTATACATTTTGAAGTTCAACTGATGAATGAAGGCGTTTAATTCAATACTTTTTACAATGTGTGACCATTCCGTTCTAACCTTCCCATTATGTCTGTTATACCTTTATAAATCCTGGTGTGGTATTGTATACCTAGAATTACATCATCTTATATAAACTACAATACCTCCAGGGAGTAAAATGCTGTTAAAAAGTTCACGTACAACATTAAAAAACTAATCCAAACTTCATTGAAACTCATTAAAAACATCCATAAACCCTTTTATAATTCCCACCATAAAAAGTTCACTTCTGATGTCGTTATGACACAATTTACGTTGGGTCACGGGGTGAAAAATGCCTCTAGAGAGTAAAATGAAATTGTGTTACATTTTGACTGCAAAATTACAAAAGCGTACTAATTTGAATGATGTGCTGTCTCCGCCAATATGCGTGGGATGATGGCAGAAACATAAAGCGAGACGCTAGGCATATAAACTTCATTTAAATTTCATTTCGTTCTCATGTTAAATAAATCATTATTTTATTTGGAAAGGAATGCACTTAAAAGTCTGACGTGGGCTATCTATAGTCTTCATTATAAGTCAAATTTAATCAAATTGTTCTAATAGCATCACGAGCCACTAGCAAAAATATTTACTTATATTAGCGCATTCGTGGGTGTTTTAGCTGGCCGTTGAGGTCCCGGTAGAATGTGACAGCGACCCCGGAGCCTCTGTAACGCGGCTTTGTCGGAACTACTCGTGGTGGTTTTAGTGGGTGTTGCTCACCCAGTCTCTGAATAGCAGAGATTTTGGCGTGGGTCGAGACCCACATACCCCTGTTCAGGGGATGCGCAAATGCATTTCCACCTCGGATATCAAAAAAAAAAAAAAAAAAGGGTGTTTAAGTGAGTCTTCAACGCCAGTCTAGGCATCTTCGAGTAAATGACCTACATAAAACAGATTCCCACTAATTGAGAATCTTACCTTTTTGAAAATGGAATACCGAAATAACCAAGTAATAAGTACATAAATGTATATGAAATATTTATAATAAGGCATAACGGTAATTAATTTTACAACATTTGTACGTTTGTACTAGCATCGTTTTGCTATTGTTTTTGTATATTACGGATTTGTTAGTTTAATCGTCAAGCAAGTATAACCACTACCTACAAAAACTTTTTAAGTTTTTACCCTTTCAACCAAAAATTTAATTCTTGTCGGAAGAAATATAAATATTGTACGAAACATTATTAGTATATTTTTTTAAATAAAACTCAACTGCATTTATGATATTTTATTATCGAAATCAGAATAATTTACATTGTAAAAAATACACATACTCAGTAATCATTACACTAGTTTTAACAATTTTTGGCTCTAGATGATTTTGATACTTTAAAACCAATCGTTCAGTTAAATAAATACTAAATCAATTTTATACCTGATGATCATCTACGTCCTAATTTCTTTGGCATAAATATAGTATTTTTGAAATATAAATACAAGAACTGCATGACCGCCGTGAAGTAGGCTGCATTTGGAACAAATGAAGTGTTTGAACTAGTTGCTACATTCACACGTCACATATAAACAATATTAGAAACGTTGGGTTATACGAGTTCAATTATTGATTTATTTGACACAAGACCTATGTAACATTTTCTATTTAAACTGCAACCTCTTTTCAGAATCTAAATATATTTCACAGAAGGCTTTGTAATTTGTAACTTACTCTAGATATAAACTTATCTACTTAACATTTAAATGTATTAAAAATAAAAGCTGCATCTTTGGAGTATTTTACGCTAATGTAGGGGTTAAACTAACAAAGTACTCGAAAGTTCTGCTTATTATTCATTGTATTCGGTTTACTTTCAGCTAAAATTCACAGTTTATCATTTAGATTTGTGATGTAAAAGTGGATATGCCTTGCCTTTGCCAATTAAACACTTGTTCGTTTCCATACTTTAAGATAATAAAAACTTAAAATAAACCAAAATTGTGTTCAAATTACATTGAAATATTTTCACATTTTAATTCTTCTTATCCTATTTAATCAAGCTACAATGGTTTATGGGTATCAGATTTACATTTGTCACATTGATAATAGTTTTTGGTTGCGAGTGGTGATATATATACGTATATCTCGCGATGTTTCATTCTAGCGTTCATTGCACACACGATAGAATAACCGGGTTTGACAGTCGCTCACGTACAGATACCAGCAAACATCTTAAACAGGGGTCCTTGCCTGCACAGAAGCGATTTTTAGGTATCACTGGGCGGCGGGAGAGTGACGTGTCGATTGCGTTATTGGTAAATCAGTTGACGTTTGTGTCCCGCAATGCTCAAACTTTCCCCCACTCCCTTGTTTAATGCTCAAGAAGTTTGCCGGTAACTGTAACTATGCTATTGTATTAGAGACTTAGCTCTAAGTATGAGGCCCGTATCAAAAACATGGATTTAGATTCGCCAAAATCAACAAAATCGTCTATCAACATAAACGCTTATCAAACATTTCAACCATCCATTAAACTTATTATATATTTAGTTTGACGGATTATTTCTGAAAATAAAAATGCAAATATGGATATTTACGATGCGATACTTGACATATTTCACCGAAAAGCTGCAATTCATTCTGACATTTGCTAGTAAATCCCCACATATAAACAACTACAATTTTATTGAAATACTGTCACAAAGGAGATAAGCGATATGTATTTTATTTTAAGACAACTATCAAAATACTAATTGACTAACCATTTGCGGAATATTGACGTCGCTGATCCTAGCTATTTCTAATTATGAAAAGGCAAACGAGGTTTTTTTTCCTTCATAGGTATAGCAACACTTAATATCTAATGTCTAGCATAGGTAATGGAAAGTAACGCATCTGCTTGTTATGAATACTAAAAGTATAAAATCTAGTGCAGTGCGCCTTAAAGGAAACAGACTTGCTATATAATTTTACGATTATAGGTGATTGTAATTTGTACCAAGCGAAACAGTATCTGAATAGTCCATATTTAATAATAGTACACTTTATCAATATAGGGTTTAAATTTCATGAAAAAGTAAGTATGAAAGACTGTGGTGGGTAACATGAGGATTTCTTACATAATAAATATGATTATGTCAACTTAACCTATTTATTAACACATGAAACGAAAGTAACAGAAGAAGCTCTCATAGATACAGCGACAAAGTCTACACAGAACATCGACAGTCATCTCTTATTATATTTATTATACAGTGATTTTAATATTTTTACACTCCACGAATTTACACCGGAAAAGAAAACTCAAATTTGGAATAGAAATAAAATATCTTTGGACGGACAGTACAGATGCTAACGCAGGTAGAAAATAAGCAAACAGAACTGGCCACTTACAAAAGGGATTAAAAAATAAATTTAAAAATGGAACAGTGGGGAATTACGTGAGATTATTTCGCCAGTCTTCCTGCGAGTGTGCCGCCGTGCAGTTGGTTGCGCACCACCTGGATTGCGTTGTTGGCGGGCATGGATTCCCACCGGGTCGTTGTCGTCTTATTATTCTTCTGGTACGTAGGGCCGAGCCCACGCAGCTGCCGTCACTACGGCACGGACTCCACTGGCCCCAGTCAGACACTCGACAATCCAGCAACCCTAATTAAAAGGAGCTTAATGTTAAAGTGCTTGGCATTAAAATTATGCTCGGGAAGAGTAAACAGATATATAAGGTATATTGCAGTGGCAAAACAGATGGGATATCTCTCGACACAGCTGAGTTAATTATATTCGAGGGAGTTTATATAATTAAATTTCTCATGAAACATTACTGTTACAAATATTGTTACAATACAATTATTCATACCTATTTTGTAGTCCTTAAATCAATAAAACATAATATCATACTCAGTGCCTAACGCAATTTGCAATTAGTAATTAGGACCAGACTTTTGACCCACTTTAAGATTTAACAAGTTAAAATAATCGTTCTATAATTAAATTATAAGGGTTGTAATATGAAACAGTTTTTAGGCCTTGATTTTGAAGTAACTTTACGATAAAGTAATTCTTCTAAACGTCTTTAACAATATGTTTTTATAATTCAGCACTTAGTAAAATATACCTACACGTGACCCACATATAAGGTGAGTATAGAATTATTATTAAATACTATTGATTAATGTTCTTATCTTCTTACTAGCTCTTTTTCTCTTCCTCCTCTCTGCTGGATCTGTATTATCAGCCCGTAGCTTGCGGCGGCGACGTGCCCTATATCTCCTCGCTAAGCTGCGTAAAGCTGACCGCTCGCTGGCAGTAGGCCCGGATGTCGGCACCTCATTTGCTGATCTTGGCTCCTCAGTTGAGGACGTGTTGTTCATTCTAATAATCGTACAGAAAATTTAAATTTGGAACGTGCGATATGACGCATTAACTTTGAAACGTTTTACGACTGTCACACTTTTTGTTCTCTTTTTTAATTGTGTCTCTTCAATTTAAAAGTTATTTTAAATTCAGAATAACTATGATTATGTCTTTGAAAACCTACACTGGCTAATGGACTTGTATATACGTCAATGTGACATAAGAAGAACACTTTTAATAAAATCCGTAATGACGAAAAACGCAGAAGAACCGTATCGTTACCTCAAAGTTACATTGCCACTAATGTACTTAACTAACGATTTTGTAGTTAAACTTAAAAGTTTTAAAGGTATCTGTTTATAATCAGTTGACAAATAAGTCTCTTATCATCGTCTGTATCGAAATATCAGATTGAAAAGCTAATTAACTCCAGATTAATTCCGTGCAACTTTGAATTAAAGACCGTAACTATATCGCAGCAATGAGATTATATTAGTGATAATTTCAGGATTCAAAACAATTTTATACGATCTTTAATATTCAGTATATTTTTTTTTAATACTGCAGTTATCTGACACATAAAAAATACTGGCGCTACAACCTTTTTAGGTCTGGGCCTCAGATTTCTGTATCTATTTTACGATCATCGGTTAATCTTATAAGCAAGTAGGTGATCAGTCTTCTGCGCCTGACGCACGCCCTCGACTTTTTGGGTCTCCTCAAGCAAGTGCAAGGCGGTTTCCTCACGATGTTTTCCTTCACCGTTCGAGCGAATGTTAAACGCGCAGATAGAAATAAAGTCCATTGCTGTACAGCCGGGGATCGAACCTACGGCCTCAGGGATGAGAGTCGCACGCTGAAGCCACTAGGCCATCACTGCTTAAAACTCTTATCTGACACATACTTATTGATTTATGATTATGATGTTCTAAATTTAAAAAAAAACTAGCTTACATTGAATAATAAGAATATGCACCATCTGGCGTTGTCATGGAACCTTCAGAGTAGATCCTGGGTGCTTCATTTCTCTCTACCTCTTCAGCTATAGAGAGAGCCCGATTGCCGTCCAACACATCTATGTTATTGTGGCTTAGCTTATCCAATTGAAGAACGTCGTATTTACGGTCATCACTATCGCGGTGGAACACTTCGGAGAGTTCGTATTCTCGCAGCTATGATAGAATAAAAATACATATATAAAAAAAGGAAATTAATTAAATGTATTGTATTGTATTATCAGTATTGCTGTCACTGTTTAAAGTTACAGAGTAAGGGCGCTATATACGCTTTGACGTGTAGATTTTTTGAATCCCTCTCCCTGGTCTCTATGGTCCGATCTTAAGATCGGATCGGACCTAGTCTTTATTTATACAAAACCAAAATAATTAACTGTGACTTCTTTTATAGATAATGTAAAATGCTATACCTTCATAAGTAAAGCGTCTTATTTAATCAGAGCCAAAGGATTAAATATTTAAGCTTTTTAAACGAGCCGTTTAAATCTCAAAAACTACCATTCATGTGGAGGTGGCTTAATTAAGTTTTTAAATAAACTTATATAAAAGGAATGAGAATATCTGAAAATGTATTCCATGCGAGTTATGTACCTAACTAATTATTTAAAACGGAAGTTCGACGTATATGTTAATACCTTGGACAGACACCTGCCGGCGTCATTTCCCTCGGCCATTTTTAGGTCAAGCTGGTGATTAACAACCCGAAATAGTTAATGTTTCGGCCAAAAACAAGTTCTAATACAACCAAGTTTTTAACCATCCTCAAATACCTCTTTAATCAATTCATAAATATAATCTATATTATCATATATACACAGTATATCATACAAATAAACTTACTTTAATGAATTGAAACGTGGCTATAGGCGGTAGTCTTCTCAAATGCGGGTAGAAGAATGAACCCGCAGGATGGGAGGGGTAACGGGACGTGATTCGATACGCCACACCTTGCGGTGCCGTCGGCCAGTTCGGTGCTGTGAATGTGAAGCCGTTGTCTGTGCCCGCGTCCAGTGGGTCAACCTAATTCACAGCAAAAAAGGTTTTGGCTAAGATAATTGTTGAATCGTCGACGACCAGATACTTTCTGAGTGGCTTGATCCCTAGGCGTTGCGTAGAGATGGTTGTCACGGCATCTTCTACCGCATTTACATTTAGGTGAGATCATCAGACGTCAAGGCAGAATACGAAAAACCTGTATCATCTCCAGGTCCGTCTTTGCCGCGCACCACCACTATGTGGAACCAGCTGCCCATTGAAGTATTTCCGAAAAAATTCGACTTAGAGTCAAGAAAAGAGCGTACTAATTCTTAAATGGCTGCCAACACACTTGCGAGCCTTCTGGCAATAAGAGTGTCCATGGGCGGCGGGTATCACTTACCATCAGGTGTTATATAAAAAAAAATGTATTGTAATACGAATTTAATGTGCTCTCCATTATTGGATATTTGTCAATATTCACTATTCACATTTTTGTATTTGGCAGACAGGGCTTGTTTCATAGTAAGGTAAGTTATCTGCCACACATCGTCTATGATTTATGTCATGCTCGTTTCCTCGCCATGGTTGGTACTTGTCGATTTAAATGTGCAGAAAAAGAAATACATATTCGTGGGCAAGCCGCAATTGGAAAAAGAACCTTAATTTGGAGAATCGTACTCTAATTTATTTTTAACCCAAATAATGCACTTTACAACAAATAATACCTCAATTGTAATGCTATCCAGCCAGTTTCCGTCGACGCACAGATCAAAACTATCCACACCGATAAACCAATCTGGGGACGGTATCATTTTGGCCATCACTGACACCTGTATAAAGATAATATTACATTAACTTTTTACTTATAGTATAAATGCATATATGCCAACGAAAAATAATACACTCGGCATTATACCTATACTAGATTAATTGTTAGGTATTCGACGATAAAAAGATAGTATGGGTAGTAAAAACCTCAACAAAAACAAAGTTTGTTACTTTCCATAAAATTGGCATAATTGTTATAAAAATAATTTGCTTCAGTTTAAAAACAATTTCATTAAATCATTCCGGTTTCATCAGAAACTTTTTATGACCGTTGAATAGAAATGCTAAATCACTTTTCTCATTATACTTCAGTAAGGCGAAGCTTATTTTGTTTTTATTACAGCTTATGTTCTTGACAGGAATGACATCTCTTTGAAGTGATATTTCAAGCATTTGCGCCGCCTCGTTCATTCTTAATTTCTTCGAACGAAAAGAATTTTAATACTTAGAGGTTGATCCAGAATTTCAAGTGGTCATTTCTCCCTAAAATCTAATTAATATGTCGAGCGCAAATATAATGTGAACATTTATAAACATTACATTATAAGAGACAGAAACGTCAAACGAAATTTACGATTCTTACGAATTTCATAACATATTTAGAATATAGTCATAACGATTTATGGAAAATTAGTATTTTTACGTAAGTTTCATGAAATCAGTTTAATTTCAATGTTTAAAAAAAGACTGATTTGTGTAGACAGAACTTTTACAGAAACAGAAAATCAGTACTTTCGTTAAAAGAATCGAATAACATAGTCTTTAATCTGTATAATAGATCCAAGTTATATAATCTATTATCGCAATTATTTTCTACTGTTTGTGGTACTGCTAGTTATTTTGATTATTTGTTTACTCCATAACTTCGTCTGATAATATACGTTTGAATGTCAACTGTCAATGATCAAATACTTAACATTAAATACATAAATCATCTTTTTATCAGAAAGCCATTAACAAATTATATAATCTGTTATCGCAATTATTTTCTACTGTCTGTGGAAGGTACTGCTAGTTATTTTGAGGGAACCTTAAGTTGGCGGGGGGAAATTAATTTTTTGCACTTTTTTTTGGCTCTATCAACTGTTCGTTAACTGTTCTTCATTGTTCTATCAAAAATTTTTTTGTTCGTTCTTATTTTTTTTATTTTTTTTTTTAAATTGACCCTCAATTTGGCACGAACTATAGATATTTTGATATTTTTATTTTTTTTCTAATAGTTTAGAACTATTCAATAACTGTTCGTTCAAAATAAACAACTGTTCGGCTTTCATTATCCTGTAATTTAATAATAATTAACTTTTTTTATAAATCTTAATTAAATGTTATTGCGCATGCGCAGTATCAATGCGCATAGTTCTCATAAATTATGCGCGGCCTATTTGAATTCGATTCAAAGAGACAACACAACAATAACAGCAACAACAACAAAATCATCATCATCATCATCATTATTAGTACCAGGAGGATAAGTTACTAATTAGAAACCTTGAACAAAATTCTTAGAAATCGTTTGATAGCTAGATAATAATTAAAACGCAAAATATCAATAAAGGTATATTTTCTCAAATTTAAATACTTAATGTAAAAAAGCCAGCCACATTATCTGCCTCCAACAGCTTGACAGACCTAGCGAGCCTGTTCGCTAGGTCTGTCAAATTGACTTGCTGTCATACTTATCGAGATCCATAAGGTCAGTATTAGTAGGTGGTACTATCATTAGTTGTCAGAGGTAATCTATATATATAAAAGAAAAATGGTCTTCGTTTGAGGCTCCTTCACGCCTAAACCACTGATCGTATCGACATGAAACTACCACCGTTCGATGCGAAATTTTTCTAGATGGTTTATTTATTAAATTCCAACGTTCCTTCAATTTTTTATTGCTGTTTTACTTTTATGAAAATTTATCCATACGGACTTCACCGCGGAAACATTCGGGGAGGCTTCCTAGAACCTCTAAACGTCAACGTCGTTTCGATTTTCGAAATATTTCAATTTTCTTAGCGGGAAGTTAAAAAGAAGAATAATAAAAATATGAAAAAAATAAAATAATGAAACATAAAATTTATTTTAATTCGTCCAGCAAAGCGGGCGCGAAACGGCTGGTTATTAATAATTAAGCGTAAGAATTAAAAACAAACGATGATAAAATTGTAATAATTCAATTTCTTTGTTTAGATAATATTTGAACTATTATATAATATACTAAATATTTGAAAATTTTACTGTGGCGAATGTGGGGTTTGAAATTTAGATGAAAACTCCAATTACTCCGTTCATGAGTTTATTCATTAATTATAGGCTATTAGAACTGACCTAGAAATGGTTCCAAATTCTGCACATCCATAAAAAAGTCTTTATATGAAGGAGAAGACGCAGTATTTAATATAAACCTATCCTCCTGCATCTCAATTAACTGATCTTGTTCTATGAACTGATTTTCAATTTTTATTACATGTTCACAAGATTTTCGCCATTCATCGATCCCTACTTGAGAGTAAGCTTCTTAAATCATTTCTCTGTTAAAAGTTTTATATCACTTGCAGGTCTATTGACGTTTTTACCCGCAAGTTTTTGTTTCATTAGTCCCCAGATTAATTCTATGGGGTTTAACGTACAATGATATGGTGGTAGCCTAAAAACTTCGTGGCCGTGTGATTTAAAAATCTCATCTATCTGATATTTAGTTTTTTTTTTCAATTCGAAATCAAATCTATCCAAGTTTATTTTTTTTGCCACCTTTCCTCTTTTTACCGTACTAAATACGCCCTTATTAGATCAGCCTTCGGCAACAATTCATCTTATGGTAGTATTAGAAACCCCTGAAATAAACCAAAGTTTATATAAGTACATAATATAATACACACGAAAATCCAATAAACCAAAGTATCAAGACGTGTCATTCCTACTAACCACTCAACACTTGCACATGGGCTCAATATCGATGATTGTGTATGTTCTGCACCTTGTTAATCAAGTATTCTTTGATAAACATTGAAAACAATATTTCTTGCTTGCGATCGAAGAGGTTTTTTCGACATTTTCACCTATTTTTAAAGTAAATTTGATGCCAAACCAAAAACAATTCCTCGAAATTTCAGATGTCATTAAATTTTTTTTGGTTGCCACATGCAAATCGCTAAGTTTTAAACTTTTTTTTTGCCATCAGATTCTGGTAGACCTATAGTTTGCATGGGACTAATCCTTTTCTATTTTTCTCAATCAATATATTTATGCCCGAACCCAATAACCTATCTCAATCCATAATCCACCATCTGAGACAGTAATCTTAATCCAAATCCAATAACCAATCGACGGATTGTAATAGCCATCTGTCGATACAAGCTATCCATGGGAGGTCGTATCGGTGTCCGTGGATATACCTTTATATGAAAATGACAGTTGACGAAAGCTCAATTTCATCAGTTAATTATTTTAGCAGATTTTATTTACACCAGTTTTTTAAATAGTCAAAAAACTCTTTGTTATGTTTAAACATACACATATATTTTGATGCTATTTGTACGGTTTTATTTACTTTATTTGGTTTACATTGATTATCAAATATGTGTGAAAACTCGGTAAAATGGAACGACAAAGAGCATTTTATTCGTCGCCAAAAATGGATTGTCTTCGTAGGGTTTGGTTATTGGGATGCAGATAGGAGATCGATCGACTGTCACGGTCTGATTCAGATTGAAAACAATCTGAGATTGTGGATTAATTATTGGGTTCGGGCGTTAATCAGGAATGTTAAAAGAATGGATAAGTACAAGAAATACGACTTTAGATGTTAAGAAAGAGTTCATTTTGTTGGTATAAAATAACAAAATATAAATGAAAGTAAAAACCGGGTGATGATGATGATTTTGTTGTTGTTGCTGTTATTTTTGTGTTGTCTCTTTGAATCGAATTCAAATAGGCCGCGCATAATTTATGAGAACTATGCACATTGATACTGCGCATGCGCAATAACATTTAATTAAGATTTATAAAAAAAGTTAATTATTATTAAATTAAGCCGAACAGTTGTTTATTTTGAACGAACAGTTATTGAATAGTTCTAAACTATTAGAAAAAAAAATATCAAAATATCTATAGTTCGTGCCAAATTGAGGGTCAATTTTTTTATAATTAAAAAAAAAAATAATAAGAACGAACAAAAAATTTTTTGATAGAACAATGAAGAACAGTTAACGAACAGTTGATAGAGCCAAAAAAAAGTGCAAAAAATTAATTTCCCCCGCCAACTTAAGGTTCCCTTATTTTGATTATTTGTTTACTCCATAACTTCGTCTGATAATATACGTTTGAATGTCAACTGTCAATGATCAAATACTTAACATTAAAAACATAAATCATCTTTTTATCAGAAAGCCATTAACAACAGCGATATCGTTAATTTTCCAACCATCATGTTGACAAATGAACTCGAGCAAAAAAACGCAATGAAACAGTGAACAACAAAAATTAGTCTTAACTGGCAATAAAATGGCTGCGATCGCGATAAATTTTCCCTTTTATTACCGCTCCATTTCAATGGAGTGCTGTTTTTTTTACTGACGCGTAATTATTGTTTGCATTCGGGAACATTAATTAGTGCCGAAAAACGATATTTTCGACCAGTACGATGGCTTTATGTAACGAGAATTTAATTGCGAAGTATCAGTTGTTCATTGTTGTTCGTTTATCGTTATCAGTTTCATGGAAATGATACGATTTCATTCACATTTTAATTATCTGTACATATATTTATGGGCGTGCTGTACTGTGGTTTATTAATGCTGGTTGTTAATAATGATGTTGATAATACGACAGGGATAATGGTTCTAGGCATGTAGGCCGGTAATTAAAGCACATTTATTTTATTCATTGTTACTTTTACTCATTATGCCATAATGAATATATAAAACTTATAAAGTTTTTATTATCTATTTTCTAGTAAAAGTGTATAATTAACCGCGTGTTACTCTCGTATCAAAGTCTACTAGTATCACAGAGAATTCCAAGTAAGACGTCATTATATAAATTACTACGACTTATTGAGTCTCCTTTTTGAAATTCTTAAAGAGTTATAGGGTATAAATCAGTACTTCGTAGGGAAATAACATTTTGTTCGAGTTACTAAGTCTGAATAATTCGAGATACCGCGTAAGGGCATGGCAAGTTTTTTTTCGACTTAACGAGGTTCGTGTTAGAGACATTCCACTTACTTTTTTATTATATGTAGTAGAATAAAAAAGTGAGGTTTATATACATATCGAATATTTAACAAAACCTGAAATTGTTAAATTTCAACTTTAACGATAATTACATGTGTTACTTATGAAATACTAAATAAGTATAAATAGGTTTTGAAACTTCAATAAATAAATACATATATATATATATAATAAATCTTTCATAACTTTTATGTTTGTTGTACGGAAAATATTAATATGTGTATATAATTACTAATTTCTTACCCGAGAATGATTACCGTCGACGAAGAACTCAGACTCACTCCGCCCTGCACCCTGACCAATAGACGGTGCGCCGAAGACGTCCAGAGTACCAGGACTAGATCCTAGAGTGTCCAATCTTCCAGTCTCAGCAAACTGCTTAATGGCTGGTGATACCCTTCTGCCCAAGTGGAATAAAACGTATGAACGGCTATGAGATACCCCTGCAAAGAAAAATAATAAAATTTATATGTATATCAGGTTATACATACGAAAAGACAGTCTTTTGTTTTTTATTCCTCTTTTCGAATTGCCTTCATTTGTTTTCAGTATCTTTTCATATACATGCGCGGCTTTCGTTTATGTATTATATGGACAGAAAATTCAAATACATATAGTTATATATTTAATTTATTCGATCACAAACCTAAAGTTTGAGGAGCTCGAACTTTACATTAATCGAAATTTGTTTGTAAGTAATATTATTGCTGTCTTTAAAAAAATAATAAGCCCATAATCAAACTCTAACACCAATTTTAAAATTTTGATTTCATTCATTAGTTTAGCTGTTATAGTTAAGAGCACAAGGATAGGAAATGAGATTACCTAAATAATTTTGATATTAAAATTCAAATTATCTTTAATAAAACAAAAATAATCGAGAAAGATGTTTTGAATTCCATCAAACAAAAATCTATACAAAAGATAGTACGAAAATTAATAAAAGTCCGAAAACAAAAACAAAGTATATTCTAAAAGTAATGAAATATCTTCAAAGTTAAAGAAAAATAACCCGATGGTATAAAAAGTTTGGAGATCAACACCCGGGCAAAAAGATCAGGGACCGGAACGGATTAAAACTTTCCTCCGATCTCAACAAATACCGTTTATATTTTTTCAAGAGTTTTATGTTTACGAAGCAATTTGTTACCCTTTTTTGCCTTTCACAGTCCATCTAAGATTTAATTTAAGTTCATTAAGCTGCCCTGTAAAAAGCTGCATTTTGTGTCATTTTTTTCCAAGACGAAACTTTTCGTACCAATCAGTACCTCGTCGTTTAATTTTAGCTTCAACTTAATAAATAAGGACAGGTATAAAAAGTTGTTAAACAGAAAAGCATATTTTTGGTACTATAAAATGTTACGAAACAGTTCCAGTACGTATTTATGTTAATTTAATACGTTAACAAGATTAGACGTTCTTAATTTGCAATTATTAGTAGAAGGAACTTTTACTCGTAAATAATAACTGAAATATAATAATCAAGCGTCATGTGGTTCACTGATGAATTTGAATGCAAGTCGGTAATCAGCCATTCAAACCTGCCTGCCCTAATCAATTATCTTGCAGAACCCAGGAACATATTAAAAATAGTTGTTTTCATTAATACTTTATAGAGGTGAAATAAGTTCTACATAAAAAATATAAAAAGCACGTCCGCATTAAGCCTGACCTATATACCTACTATATTTTCATGGAAGTACTTACCCATCCAATGAAGTCGTAAAAATAATTTATTTTAAGCGCTCTAAAAACGTCTTAATGTCTTAAAGCGGCAATATTATTACTTCCAGCGTTAACTTAAATAGTTATTAATGAATTACTCTGAGTACGAATTCAAGGGGTAAGATTCATATAGACGTAGCGTGTAATATGTCAAACGTCAAAACATATCGGAGTTTGACATTTTGTCATGTTTAAGCTGTCTCTTGTCTGAATCTTCTTACCTTAAAGAGTTAAACTTTAATTATTATTACATATGCAGAGGCTATTGATATTCGAGAAGAAAACAGATCGGTTTGAAATTACATAATATAATATAATATAATATAATATAATATAATATAATATAATATAATATAATATAATATAATATAATATAATATAATATAATATAATATAATATAATATAATATAATATAATATAATATAATATAATATAATATAATATAATATAATATAATATAATATAATATAATATATATATAATATAATATAATATAATATTCGAGTTTATACCCATTATAAAACATCCCTGAAACAATAGCTGAAGTATCTGCACCATGTCCCTTAACGAGTATACATTTAGAATCAAACCTTTCAAATAGTGCTATATTCCCTTGTGAATTTCTCTTTTGTAAAGGGTCTCACATAATGTTTACAAGAATCGTCGAGTAAGAATATAATGCATTGTAAATATATAAATAAATGATCTACCTTATAATAATTTACTTTTATTCCATTTTAATATAGAAACGATGAAACGGATATACTAAACCAGAAAATCCAATTGATTACTCCAAAGAATATAATGTAAGAAACACACTTAGAGCGATGTTTTCTTAAATCTTTAAAACTAGTTAGTACTAGTTTCATTTTGTAAAGGCGGTCTTTTACGCAAACTTCAGATGTCACTGCAATGACATATGATATATAGCGTTAAGGTTTTACTGAGACCAATCCCTGACCCCTGGCCTTGAGACTAAACCACTTTTCGACAGGCGCGACCTTAGGTGGTGCTAGTTTAAAAGACTGCCAATATTCTCTCCTAGTGTGCTCCAGTAGTGGGTGTGAACTATTAGAGCACAGTGGCTATCGTAGTGATTTTGTCTCAAGCCCCCGGCTAGTCGAAGCGCAAAAATTCCGAAAACCGAAACCACCGAAAAAATTACTGCCATATTACGTCTTTACAGACGATCATAAGTGTACAATGTGTTACCTATGATATACCTGATTAAATGATTTTTGAATTTGAATTTGAATATATTGAAAAGCTATGATTTAGAAGTTATTTGGCAAATTCGCTAAGCGCTTTCAGTATAAGCAGTAAGCACACACATTGGTATAAATATACTCAATAATAATAGTCTAATAATTTTCAAACGTCCTCTACAGTCTACGCTCTTTTATTCAGACTCAATAATATAGGCTTATAGATATCAACGTGCCTTTTTGTCTCCGCTTCGAGCTATAAAAAGCTCTGACTTGTATATTTTGCTTCAATTAATCATTATTAAAACTATTATCGTAAATTGCAATCATTGTTTACATTACGCATGAGTCATGAGTTGATGAACTTGCGTGTTGCCAGTTGGCTTCGTTACAAATCTGAGAATACATGCACTACTCTAAAAACTAATAATCTCAAAATACTTTGTTATCTACATTTACAATGTCGTTACGGACTCATTAAGATTATTTTTATTAATAAGTAAAATTTGTAATTTAACAATCTTTAAGACTAACAAATATTTATAGTAATATGAAGTCCCGTACGCTAAATACACATGGAAAATAAAAAAAGGGTGCGTGTACTTATGTACGTGCGTAAGAAGTTATACTTCTTTGGCTTTCTTTATTTTTTTTTAAATATTAAATAATTAATAATAAATATTTAACGTTAATAATTTAATAATATTTAATATTTAGTATATTATTCAATTATAACTATAAAGTATTTCTTTTTATTTATTCAATTATTAATTAATATTAATAATAATAATTATTATTATTTATTATTCTATTATATTATTCATTCAATTTAATAACTTGGTATGTTTCAAAACCTTTTAACTAAGTAACAATAGGTCTTTGTGAAAAATTTCTTAGAAAAAATAATTAAAAGCGACTAAAGAAGTATAACTTCAAAAAGTTTTATAAGTAATTTTCTTTGAAATCAATCGGCGTTTCATTGTTACTTCGTTATTTATATTAATTTATCTATTTATTTGTTCGGAAGAAGCCTTTTACTGCTATATCTTATTTGACTTTGAATCAAAAGTATTTTTGAATTGTAACTAATAGCCACCGTATATAACTCTGCAGTCTTGGTCTTACCTAAACAACTTACCGATAAAGGCCTCTCAATTTTTTTAATTGTCTTTAAATAATTTTTTAAACGTTTGAAGCTGGGTTTATTCAAATCTCAAAATTAAATTGCAGAGAATTGTACACATCTATATTACCTACCCATTATAAGCAAAAATATATATATTACTCCAAAGTGGCATACAATACATTGGAATAACGAGTAAACTTTACACAGATATGCTGATGAATAGCAGATAGAGGAGGAATACTGAAAAAACAATCCACAAAACCTTACTGGGGTATTTTACCCATATATAAATAAGATGAAGTCAGCTTAGAAGTGGAAGTGCTTGGCAGTATTAAAAAAAAGGTTTCATTTTTTATTTTATTTAATGTAACTTTCTAGTAAGTAGTTTTGTTTGATGTCCAACCTCTCCTGATGAATTGTTATTCTATTTATTCCATAATGATTGTCAAGGCAATTACAATTTGATTTTTAAAACTTATCTAAAGTGAACAAAAACCATTTTCACAGAATACATAAATTATAACGTTTGTTCGTATAACATAGGGTATTTTTAACCTACTTTGAAAAGGAGGATGGATAAATATATTTAGTTATGTGTTAACAGTTAATCATTTCAAGGTTATAAAGCTTTTGAAACTCTCTCTGAAAGGTAAAACGTTTTGTTAAAATCGTTAAAAGAAATTAGTTTATGTCATGCTAATTGGTACTCCTTTAAGAAGATAATATTGGGAAGAATTTATTATTAAGTAGATCATGTCAGTATTCAGTCAAGCCAGGTCAATTAGTCTAGATAACACACTAATGTTCAAGAAAACGGATGCTGAATTTGTTTAAAATGAATCAAAGATGATCTGAAATCCGACTGTCAATTAATTATTCGCCTGCGGACACTAGAATTCTTAGAACTGTATCACCTTGTATTACGAAATTATTATTTAATGAGACTTATACAAACAACACTCTCATAAGATAAAAAAGGCAAAATCGCGCAATGATCCATTAACACCACCCGCCATTAATTAAATTCCGATTGTACTTTATTGTATTGAAAATATTTAATGATCCAACCCTGACTTTTTACAGATAAAGCTAATTTCTTAAAATGTAGTCTATAGCATTTGGCATTGCTTATGGTAGAGTATGTGCCTTGTGGCCAGTATAAGATAATTTTATTCAGAACCAGGAAACAGTCTACCAAAATTACCAATAGTAAGAAATCATTTGGATTTGATAACATGTTTATCATTTATTATCGGTAAGAGGGCTGGTCTCTCACGGTCAAATCATATTTACGCTGTGATCAAAAGAAGCAAATAAGTTACTTACATAATAATTTTTTTAATAACTTATTTTAGTCTAAGGAAATATATTCTAATTACAACCATTTCAAAAGGCTCTATAGAACTAAAGCGATTAAGAGCACGTACCTTAAACTAATGGGCTTGTTTTGCCAAGCCGAAGCTCTTTTCCTAATTTCTTTTCGCTGAGAAAAATAGCTGAATCTATTTAACGATAGCATTAAATTCTGTAGTTTTTGCTCTTCTAGTTCTGAATTGTCCTTGCTGAACAATTGTTTTTCCTTACTGTGTGAATTTATATTATTCACTTAATAAGAAACTTCAATGATGTTTGGTGCAAATTCGAAAAGAGTTCAGTGTGGTTAGTGCACTTGGTTTATAATACGAAGGTATCAAGTTAGTTTTTCGATTACAACGAAACAAACATTATTTGAGATTTAAATATTAAAAATTGTCGATAAAACAGACGCCAAATTATCCCCTGGATTTTAGAGGTTACTAGATATTAGTTTTTATATCAAACATAAGAAATTCCAAAATACTTGAAATATTAATAAATATAAATTAATTATTAATAAGTGTTCTAGTAAAAAAATTCATATAAATTCGAATCCTCACAGTAAGCATAAGGCACCATTAGTCTAAATTAAGCCGTGTTAAGAGCATACTTCCACGTACTTCTCAGGTATTGAACGCGATGCGATAATCGAGTCACAATTGAATCGTTGCCAACTGAGTGAATAATCGATGGAGTCCTCGTAACTATGACACATTTCGTGATGTAATTTTGGAGCAGTTTGGTGGCGCTTCGGTGAATTTAAGTGTTGACACTTTAAACATTGCAATTTCTTGTTAATATAATAAAGGCGTTTAAAAATTGTAGCCTAGGATTTTATATGAACGAATTTAAAGCAAAGGAAACAGTTTTTGATGCGTTTGTTTTTTAAACCATAGTTACTATAGGACTGTAAGTCTGTTAGTGACTTCATACGAAACTTTTACTATGGTTTCTACCTTTACGTTATGAAATGTATTTATATGACTGAAGGCAGCAAACGAAATAAATTGCTTACATCATTAAACATATTCGTACGAGCATCATCATCAAAGTATCTTGTGACGCCCAAATTACCCCCTTAATAACCCCTTCAATTTACAGTTCCCTCGAAAACGGATCGAATGACGAAACACGACCAATTTACGTCCGTGTAGGCGTCGATAAACAATGGGTAATCTCTTAAGATGTACAATTTATATCCAAATAAAACTGTTGGCTTACTCGCATTCGCAAGTTGAAGTGTTAATGCCCTTGAAAATATAATGAGCCATAAAGATTTACATTTATCTGTGACTATATGTCTGTTTCATATCGACGAAATTGTTCACGACGTTCTTTATCTGTGGTAAAACAGGATATTAACTAATCAGTCGGTCTAATAAACAAAAAACTATATTTTCAATTATTTGTAACATATGACACATAGCACATAATCATTAGTACGATTTCTAATTTAAACGCCGTAAGATGGAGGACTCTAAGAGATAAAATTAATTTAAAATATCTGGTTCTGCCTCATTAAAAAAATATATTTTTTTCTTAGTACGTATAGTTTGTATTTGCCACAGCCAAAGGATGACACGAGGGAGAAGCCTCCAAACATAAACTTAACTTAGCAACTTACCGTTAAAGTTATTTTAGCCGAAAAAGTTTTTGGGACAGTTTGAGTACAGACAAGTAAATCCTCTTTACACAAAACGGCGTTTTATGTAGTACATTTATAACATTATCCTTTTAAAAAAAATATTTTTAAAGGGCATTATGTGCACGATAACAATGTTTACATATATGAAGAAATCTAAAACATGTTTATGTTTCACCGTTTTGATTTTTGACATTACGAAGTGTTATTTGAAGATACTAAAGACTAATCTACGTTATATATTGACGAACCCGTTAAAATTTTAATAAATTTAAAAAGTAATTTTTCATTATTTTTACACTCGTATACTCGTTACAGGGTGGTCAAAAAGTTGTGGATCAAATACTCTACCGAAAAGTGACCCTGTATTACAAGTTTTGGCGCATTAAATAGGGATTCTAAAACGGTATTACACATGGCAATGAGTAGCTCCAATTACTTTCTAGGACGAAAAATCAAAATTAAGGACCTCCCGTAGAACAATTTTTTGCAGGTGGTGACTCCATCTAACCCCTAGTTGCGTTTGATCCACGATTTTTGGCCAACCTGTATAAGTAATATTTTAAATATCCTTAAATATAAATGAAATCCCCTGGTCGCGTTTATCTGTATGAAGGTGATAAACTTAAAAACTACTGAACGGGTTTTATACTGCTTTTACCAATCAGTACTGTGATTCCTGTTGAAGGTTTTTATTGAAATTCACTCTAGTTAAATAATCTATTTGTGTAAACGTACTAACCATTACGTGCACTGTTCGAATAATTCCCTAATACGTTCCCTTTCAAATACCTTGTTCCTTACTTCCCGAAACACAATAGTGTTGCGTAGTGATCTTGTTTCCTGTCACTATCGATAAGTGTCTATTTTAGTGACCAGCCCTGGCTCTCAGCCAACCCTAGGTCGGATGAATGCAACGGGATTGTTAAAGGTTGGACTCGAAATAGGCAATAAGTTTCTTGTGTTTATTAAGTTATTATGACGTTAATTGATGGGCAGAATCTTTGTGAGTTATACATCAATATAACTGTTGTGGTGTAGTTTATTAAACTGTCTTTTCTTATATTGCACGAATTCCCTTCTTTAGAATAAAACAGGCGAGGTCAGAACCTTGCTAACAAAAGATTTGTTACTATATTATTCATTATTAAAATTAATACCAACTTAAGGTCTATTTCTATTTCTATTTCTAAGAATAAGTAATCAACACATTGGATCACTGGGCTAGCGGAGTAAGTATATTTAAAAAAATGCTATTTATCGTTATTCTCTTTTATTTCTCATGAAGGTGACACAGATGAATTGAATGTACTTACAAATACTTAAGAAAGAAAAAAAGAAGATGGATAACTAACCTGTTACTTATATCAATATTCATTTAAACATAAACTAGTTCCTCACTTCCTCATACGTAGGTAAATAATAAAAATATTTAATAGCAAAATTCGAATAAAGAGTTATACTAAAAATGAGCGCAAATTGCAAATGCAAGCTAATTTTGCCATCGTCGAGCTTGGAGATACTTTTACAACTAATTCAAAAATAGAACAGTATTTTCTGAAAATAGTTTGCACCCTCATAATTTCATTTACAATAAAAATGTTCCCATCAAAGTGAAAGTTTGAAGTACCTTTCATAACTGGATGGGCGAATTTCTATTTCAGTACAATGATACTTTTAATTAATTTTTACACTTTAACTATTCAGTCTAACTATATTTTAATCTCACAGTTGCTGAATTGAGATTCATTAAATAAAATAAAGTAAGTGCTTTAAAGCTGGACACCAGCTGCACTAGATTTTAGAAGTTTAAATTGGATTTCATAATTCTGATATTTTTTCTTTCAACAATATTAAATATACCTCATTTATCAGTAGTTAAGGTCCGATTTTTATAATTTAAAATACAATAGCTACATTAGCGAACAATTAATATTAAGTAACTTTCAATTTACCGAAAATTTGTTGTCTCAAACTGTTGATTGACTAATTTATTGACTATTACCACTAAGCTCATTTATTAATAAACATTTTGCTACAGTATGTCAATTTAAGGTTGCGCTAGCTACGTTTATTCTCCCTCGATATCAATATTACTTCGAAAACCAAAACCATCGTAAATAGGGGTTCTTCGTCAAAACACAAATAAAAACGGCCAATGTATGCACTCAAGACACAACAGATTAATAATTAAGCACTTTTAAAAGTGTGTAGACTTGTTGTAATAGCAATAATTATTAAATGCTAATTAAATTCCAACCTAAAATAGGCAGGACAAAGGAATTCGTCACACATCAAAACTAATTTTTTATTTTTCATTAAAACTTACCATAAACACGTGACCATTGAGCAGGTGGCCGCCAGTCCGGATAATGTTTCGGAAATTTCTCCCTCGTCCAATAAGTGTGTAACACCATCTTATACACTGTCATCTTATCCGGGTTACACGAATCGGAATCGGCCGATGACAGCGCCGCCGCTAGGGCGGGGAGTAACAACACTAACCACATTTTATCGATAAACATTGTCCCGACACTAGGTAGCGTTCATGATGTTACAATTCGACCCCCATCGGAACTGGAACAAAGAAAAAGTCAATTAAATATTTTTCGTCTTAAAATACGGCACTTGCTGTCCCTACGTATTTGTGACCGTTTCATTATCTAATAAAAATATACCGATGGTGTGTTTAAATTTAGAACTTATAACATAAAACAATCGAATTTTTTTTTTATTGTTTGGTCCACTCCGTGGTTAAACATTAGACGAGTTATTATTAACTCGACTAATGTTTCAAACAACGACTTTTATTTTCCAATCAATTTTCACTAAAAATAAATGTAATATTATTTAGGTGACTTTATTTTTATTTTTATTATTAGTGACTCTGCGTTTTTTAGTTGTTAAGTTCGTAACAGGAGAAAGAAGTAAATATTTTTTTATTCAAAATCAGCAAGACTCACAGTTATGTAGCGCTGTATTTTTTTCAGTATTGTATTACATAACAACAACTGTTACTGAAGAAAATAAAGTGATTATTAAAATATCTGTTTTGCTAATAATTGTTACCGAAAGCCAAGACAGTCAACGCCGCCGAGGCAAAGTAATTTTGGCAGATCAATCTAAATGAATGGACAGTTCAATTATAGCCTCTTCATTCATGGAATCCTGATATATCTCCACCAATATTTACTTTATCTGGGGCAATTGATACTGTGACGTAAAGGTTAAAGACCTGGCTATTTTTGTACCAACCTTTGAGGTGATGCCGTTTGAATCAACACTGGGATTGTTATTCCAATGAGGAGATAGTATATCTGTGTTAATGAGAGCTTGCTTGGACGTAAGACTTATACAATACTAGCTGTACCCTGTCACGCTTCGCTGTGGCACATGTGTGATTGAATGGTTGAGTAATGAGAAACAAAACAAAGAATATATTTCAATGAAGTTTAATTTTTAACATTTTTTTTGTTATAAATGAAAAAAATAAAAAACATAGATAAAAACAATCCTCGATGCGTATCATGCTAAAATTTCAACTCGATCAGTGCAGAACTTTTTGAGTTTTTGAAGCGTACACAAACCAACATAACATTTTTATATATTAGGTCCTTACATATGAAATTGGCGTATTTCGTACTGGCCACTTTAATCACGATGTTCTCCTCTTTGGTAAGGAATTCCAAATTCAAATTTGTACAGCTATTTACTCATGTATTTGTGCTTCGATTACCGTCATTCATTTGTTTTTTTCTTCTGTTTTTTTCTGTTTGCGTCACTCATTTTACAAAATGGAAAACTTAAAGTATCGCATTATTTACGAGTACGAGTTCCGCCGTGGCACCAGTGCTGCGGTAACGACTCGAAGGGTGAATGATGTGTATGGCGGTCATGTTGCAAAAGAAAACACAGTTCGTTTTTGGTTCCAACGTTTTCGTTCTGGAAATTTCGACCTGCAGAACAAGCCCCGTGGACGGCCTGAGACTCAAGTTGAATGAAGAATTGAAGGCTATTGTGGAAGCGAATCCATCGCAAACCACGTCCGAGTTAGCTGCAGGCTGCGGTGTTAGTGATAAAACTGTATTAATTCACTTGAAGCAAATTGGGAAGATTAAAAAGCTTGAAAGATGGGTACCTCACGAATTGACTGAAGCAAACCGGCAAACGCGCGTCGACTGCTGCGTTACATTACTGAACCGGCACAATAATGAAGGTATTTTAAACCGAATCATTACCTGTGATGAAAAATGGATTCTTTACGATAATCGAAAGCGCTCAGCGCAATGGTTGGATCCTGGCCAGCCAGCCAAATCCTGCCCCAAGCGAAAATTAACCCCAAAAAAGTTACTTGTAAGCGTTTGATGGACTAGTGCCGGTATTGATCATTGCAGTTTTCTCAAATCTGGCCAGACTATTACGGCTGATGTCTATTGTCAGCAATTGCAAACCATAATGGAAAAGCTAGCGGCTAAACATCCTAGGCTGGTCAATCGCTCCACGCCACTGCTACTTCACGACAACGCTAGACCACACACTGCACAACAGACGGCTACCAAATTAGAAGAGCTTCAATTGGAATGTCTAAGACATCCTCCGTACTCCCCGGACCTTGCTCCAACAGATTACCATATTTTTTCGAAATTTGGACATCTTCTTGCAAGGGAAAAAATTTAACTCTGATGGGGCAGTCCAAATCGCCTTCACAGATTTTATTGATTCCCGTCCGACTGTTTTTTGTAGTAAAGGGATCGATGAACTACCTATGAGATGGCAAAAGTGCATAGAAAACAATGGTTCATACTTTGATTAATTAAATATATTATATTTAAAAATATTCGACTTTTTGTTCCTCCCATACAAAACGCCAATTTCATATGTAAGGACCTAATATATAGATTGACCACGTGGCTTATAGATTCCGACTTTAATTCCCGACAAAACAATGTTGCGTGTGGATTTACTTGCCTTAAAAATGGTTAATGAAACAGATGTAAGAATGTTATCCCATTGGGGAATTACGGAGGCCATTCCAATGTATTTATTCAATGTATTTAGTACAAAAAGCTCCTAAAATAACAGGTTCCGAATATGTCTGTCTCAGTAAAAGGAATACAGCTAAAGCAAAATATTATAATCCACGTTCATATTACAGTGTTAAAGGTCACAAGTAGTTTAATTAACTGACGTTAATTTTGAAATTCGAATAAAAGTTCACCAACCTCGCGTTGGCTTTTACAGTAATTAGTTTTACAAAAAAGAACATTGTTCTCGGTTTTCGCGATAAGAACATTATCAAACTGAACGTATTTTCTTAATTTTTGTGCAATCTTCGTATTTTAAAAGAATACGATTCGACCCCTATTCGACCAAATAACTGGATTGTTTTCATTAATCGATTTTTCTCAATGAAAGCTTTCGCACGCAGTGGGCTGTCTAAGCGAATCACCTTCAAGTCTCATTCCATTGTTCTACCCGTTTTCTAAGCCGGTCACGTGCCCCCCAATGAGAAATATGACAGCTGTCTCATTTAGTTATAGATAGAGCTACGTGCAGAATTCAATGGTACCGATTCAAAAAGAGGAGAGGAACAATAATAAGGATCAGTTTGCGTGCTGAAATAGAACGAAATTTGGCCAATTACCTGTTATAGATATATACTCGTATAATGTGTAAAGGAAAATTTTGGGGGTCATAAAATGGTTTTTGTGTAACCAAGACTCTTATCTACAGGAATCTATTTGTAATTAGATTGTAATAAAAGTATTTCCAATAATTAATAATAATAATATAATATTTTTTTAGAAACTTACAAGTTTTATTAGGCAAAATTAAAAATATTTTTAGTTTATAAAAGTCAGTTATCGTTTCTTAATTAATTCCATACAAACATATTTGTTGGCAGTACACATACGGTTAATTTGTAAGGCCATGCCAAACTAACATAATAGCCTAAAAAACAATCACAAAATTTTAATATTATATCCCTAAATTGTTTAAATTTCATTTATTTATATGTTACCGTATAGTACAACAAATATTTATAATGTTTAAACAACATTTTGAAGGCAATTGTCTAAGCTTATCATTGCTTCTAATCAACTAAGGTATACTAAACAAATACTCTTTCCATACATAACGATGTTTACGAAGTAATTACTAACATTAAAGGGAAATTCAGTCATAAAACGATGCGTCATTAGTCGCTCGCAAAGGGTTGCATGAGATTCTATGTCCTAGATAGCTTCAAAGACGTATCTAGGTTTTAATCTCAATGAACTGGTATTTCTCAGGATATGGGCTTTGACATGAATTCAGTGCGCGTTTAATTTCCCGTACTGAAACAGACGCTGTTTTCAGGTCTGTTTTATAGAATATAGCATATGAAAGTAATAGGAACAGATAATATGAATAATATTTTGTCATAAATTGTCGCTTTATGTAACATCATATAATAATAGCTTCATTCTACAGTTCCTTCCATATTCAGGGAGTGAAATTATTAAAAAATTCAACCGCAGAGCTTTATACCTTATTCGGTACACCAAAATATATTGGATGCTGCTTCGTTCGTGCTTTTAAATTTGAAAATGTCGGGTTCGTCCTTAATTTTCTTCCTTTAGTAGATGTTTACATCACTTCAGAAGCTTCATCTGCCAATATTTTAAATTTCCAACCCCTGTTAGGCTCTTATTAATCAGTTGGTAAAAAGAGTATAGGTTATTGTGGTAATTACGTATTGATTATGACAATACTAGTAAATAGTATTTCAATAATATTTTAATATTATTAATTATATATTCATATATTATTGCAAAACATAAATTGATCGATAGTAAATACTAATTGGTAAACAAGTAACCTTAAAAATTTTACTTCTTAAAGTCATTAAATATAAAACCTCAAAATACAAACAAAATAATGAACAATATGAAATTTAATATTCGCTTCTGAAAATTCGTAATAGTAATTTTTTTCAATATTACCGAGTTTCCAAGAACCTACTAATTTTCTTTCATTTCCCCTCATTTTACGAACTGAATTTTCCAACCCTTTGTTTTTAAATATTCCCTCGGGACAAGTGATTCGATTACATTGTTATTTCCAGTTTAATCGCCTAAGTGTGGGGTTTTTTTCCTATGTAATGTGTACTGTATAATAGTATAGAAACGTATAATAATTATATATTTAAAAAAACTGTCCATGATAAAAAAAAAATTGTGAACTCAACCCCTATTTTAAAGTACTTTTAGAACGTAACATTCTGTTAACAATCCCTGAGTAATATGGACATTTTTTGCCAATGCTTCTCGTCCGTTCTTCGCCCTTGATTTGAGAACTGGCAGTAAATGTAAAATTAGAAGCATTTCGCATTTAATATGTATTTCTTTATTGACGTTCATAAGTCTACATAGTGTTACCTAAATGAAATTAATGACTTCGAATTAATTATACCCAAAACAATTAAAACAAATGTCCAGCTTTGTGAACCGATTACTATAGGTATATTATATATTTATCTCAA